AAAAAGAATGAACAAAAATCTGATCTTAGTGATCAACAAACCAAGATGGATATATTCAAATTTAAAGGATGAATTGTAAGCTTTTGGATTTGACTGGTTTGTCAATTTAATAGCAGAATAGTTGAATGATAAATTTGCAGAGTTAATAGAATGGATAAACTGAAAACTGAATAAACTCAAAATCTTAAAAATTTGATATCTATTAAATGAATAAAATTTCTTCTAAATTAATTATATACTTAAAATATATAGGATGCCTTTTTTTGACATCATATGGGATGAATTAAAAAATAATCTGTTATTTTTCAGCTTTTATCATTTATGGTATACATTTAGCAAAATCACGTTTGAAAACGTGAAAAATCTATATATGATTCAACCCATTACATCGTTTAATTGTCTAATTCAAAGGATGCAAATTAATTAACAAATGCAAAACGATGAGGGAAGCAATTAGAAAAGGGCAAGATTATATTGTAAAAACTTGTTACTTTAAAAAAAAAAATGTGGTTTCTCTATTCTTTATGATTTATATATATATATATATAAATTTTCTGTATTTGAAATATGATCTCGTTATATAATGCAAATATATTAAAATATATAAAAATATAATTTATTTATCAAATTAAATTTTCAGCATTTTATAATTATTTTACATAATTTTTACCAGTTCGCTCTTGAAAAGATGTGCACAAATTGTCAAATACCAAAAATGAAAAGCAACAAATATATAAGCTCAAACTATATAGAATGGAGGTGTTGAAAATAAAATTCAACTGTTGAACTGATACAATTAGGTGTTGAAAAAAATGTTTAATATAATATGGATTCAAGTGTGTTAAAAATTTTAAAATGTTGAAATGATAAAAAAAAAAAAGTGGCACATTAACATTAATTGTTAAAATATTTGTTTTTTGTCATCATAAGTATTTAAAATGAAGTATCTTATATTACATTAATTTAATTGTTTATTTTTTAATATCAAAATTTATTATTTTGGATATTCTATAAATAGAAATTGTTTTATTTGATTTGGATATCTAAAAATTATTAATAAATAAATAAAAATAGTAGGATATAATATTGAATTTTATTAAATAAAACTATTGTAAAGTAAATTAAGTGAATGTTAAATGATTAAGTGGAAGAAAAAAAAATGTGGATGTTGAAAATTGAATTCATTGTATACATAGTTTCAAAATGTTAGGTGACGTGGCCTTATACTTATTGGTTAATAGTAGGTGATGTGGTCTTATATTTACTAGATGAGTACTCGCGTGATGTGCTGATTTTTCTTTTTACAATATAATTTATTAAAAAGTGTAGTTACAATTTATTTATCGTATATTTAATTTTTTTAAAGGATATTGTGCATTTGAATAAACATACAATACATATTTACATATTATATGGATATTAACTATATATGTGATGAATGGTTTATTGATAAGAAAATATGAAATATATTATATATTGTATATATAAAATATATTAAATGGATATAATGCAAATCAGAGAAGTACTATATAACAAAAATTATGTAAATATATAGGTCGTAGCATAACATAGATAGGGACGACTCTTTTTAACAGGTCGTACTTGTTCACGGCGTAGATTTATACAATAGTAATACTGTGGTTTTATATTTTTATGAACTTAAATAATTAATTTATAATTTTAATTTATATAGCTGCATTAAATATTTTATAAATATATATATCAGGACTTTAATATCTTATTAATTTTAAAATTATTAATGAATCAAGTTTGAATAAAATAAATTATCAAATAATTATTAGTTTATAAAGAAAATGTTTTAAAGTTTATTATAATATTGTATAAATTTTTCTTCTAACTTTTTAAGGTTCAAAATATAAAATAATTGTTATTTTTGTATTTGTATAATTGTTTTTATAATAATATCTTTTAATATTAATTAAAAATAAGAAAACACTCTTAAATATAAAACATAAATTTTGTTAATGATTTTAAAAACTACCACAAAATAGATATTCAATAATTGTTTTTGGATATTAAGTATATATTGTTATTAAAATATATTATCTAATTCTTCATATTTTTCATATTCTTCTAGTATTATGATTAATAATACATTAAATTTATGCATTAAGTGTATTTTAAATAATTTATATCATTAAATTTTAAAAAATGACACATGTCATTTCCACAATAAACTAAAATGATGAGGTGGCATTCATATGGAGAGAGTTGGCCATCTTTTATAGTATCATATTATTAATTGGCAAGCAAATTGGGCTGTGGTTGAGAGTTATGATGGTTGATTACTTTTTTACCCCTTATGTGAATTTACTTTATTTACCTTTAATAAAATTGGTTAAACTAAATTATGTGTTTTAATATTAATCTGGTTTTTTAATTGATTAAAATACATTAATATCTAAATCGTCACTTATTAATAATGTTAAAAATCAGTTAAATCTAAATGATTTTAGTTATAACTAAAACTCTAAACTACCTAATCTTATAAATATATGAGTATATATTACAGCAATTTATACTAACAATATAAAACTGTAGCCGCACGTCTCTATCTTTAACCCCAACATGTCGTAAGATTCAATTAAAATTTTATCGCGATCTAATGAAACATATGAAAAATGTCATTGAAGGCAGAAGCTTTGTTAGAGAAGAAAGAAAGAATTGATTTGCATTATAAATTTTGTAATTGTTCGATTAAGGAGGTTGAAGCGTCGGAGTACGAAAAAAAATTGTATCTAAACTTTATTATTATGTTATGTGTGGTTGTGAAATTTACAAACTAATGTCCGAACTCTTCCTAGAAAATTAGGAGCAACGACAACATCGTGTAGTTTGATAAGCAAAGGAGGTTGTTTGTTAAGTTTGGTTTATGTTGAGTTTAGATTTGCATGGAATGATTATCTTACATCAAAGATGTGAATGGAGGAGCAATCTTTGACAGGTAAGTTTTTGGGTGGAATGACCTTCGTGAAATGTGAGGTTTGTCAATAGACTTTGCGTGATAGAGGAGAAGCTGCACCATTCAGTTGGTGTTGCCGCATAGAAGAAGAGAAACATGGTAAAAGGAACTGGCACGCGGTAGGGTTTAGAGTCATGCAGCTTTGCTCATAATTGGATGTTAGAGAAGAAAACATAAAGAACATAAGAGAAGGAAGATAAAGGCCAACTATGGAAATAATATTAAATTCATATACGAGTTTGATAATACTGCAAAAGAATTAACTGAATTTTAAAAGCAAAACGAAATTATTATTGGTTTTGGGAATTGCTCGATTGACTTGTGATCTTTTCAAACATATGTTAAAGCTGTGTATGGTGAAGTATAGGAAGTTTTTCTGTTCCAACTATCCATCTAAATTTTGTGTGACAGATTTTATTTTATTTTCAGTGTAGGAAGTTTTTCTGCTCCAACTATCCATCTGAATTTTGTGTCACATATTTTATTTTATTTTCCAAATTAAGTTTTGTAAATCGGTATATTGTTTAGTTGGATGGTATGATGAAGACCACGAATCTTACAGAGTCGTTCATATTCATTGTTCATCGTACAATTGTGTTCTGATTTTTTTATTGTGATTATAATGTTATGAAAATCAAATTTTCAGTTGATGATATAACATTGTTTTATTACAATTTTTTCTCTTTTTCTTTTAAGTAAAATCAAAAGAAAAATTAAGAAGTAATAGTTTTTAGATATGTTTTGGTATGTTCTGTTCAGCATTGTTTAAGCTATAGTTTTTCAAACTTAGCTTTGTGATTGTGTCGTTTTCTACAACTCAGAAGCAAAACAAATTCAAAAGCTGATTTGAATTTGTTTTAGTGTTTGTACTTCTTTGTTCAATTTGTGTTTAATTTTACAACGAGACAGGTAAAGAAAAGAATTACCTATCCACTCTTCCATTTTATTGACGCTTTCTCTTCATCTTAAGGAGCCGTGAATTTTGTTTGTTCTTCAATTTTTTTACTGTGAATTTGGTTTCTGTTTGCTTCTAAGGGAGGAAATTTCTGAATGTGTTTTTTCGAACTTTGATTGTAATTTGCTTTCCACCGATGAAGAGGGTTAGAGAAAATGTTGACGCTGAATCTCATATACGGGATGATCAAGTCTGATTCATTTTGCTTGCAATGTTTGAAATCTATTTCATATTTTCAGTTGTAGAGTAACAAAACATGATTTCTGATTCATTTTGATTGCAAGTTTTAAACATTTATTTCTGTTTTCTGTATGTAGTAATAAAACGAAAGGTTATCTTCGATTTCGTGCATTGAGATGCTATAAAGAAGAGAGATTTCACAGCACTCTATTGAATATGTTGTCATTGTGTTTTCTTCTGTTTCTTAAGAGTTTATAGGAATTAGTCCTCCTTTTTTCAGTTTCCCGTTTTAATATTTTCTGGTGTATATACTTTACTTTAGAAGATGACATTTCAAGTAGAATGATCGAACATGTACATTACTCTCATTCTAGCACTGCAGATAGCATCAGCTCGGGAAAGAGCTATAAATATCCAACTTCTTCTTAAAGGCTCATAGAAAAGCTGACAAATTTAATAGTAATAATTGGTGGAAAAAGCATGATGTAGCTATGGTTCCCACATAATTTGGCATATTAGTTACAACAAAGTTTATGAATCAGGTAATCTTTGTTTGAGCTGATTTTTAAATCTTAAAGAAGTATAAATAGTCTCCTAATAATCTAGCTTTCACTACTAACTGGCCGACCTAACTTAACCAATATATCGATTTAGTTATACTACTGTTTTCTAGACTTCTTACGTCTATGATTCCGTTTTTGCAGGAGTTAGTGTAAGAAACACAATTACACCATTAAATTCTCAAACAAAGACGAGGCCATCTCCAGCAAGAAACACAATTATGTTATAGTTCAATAATCGCATTTGCTTGCGCGGGCAGTCACCAAGTAGATTGGGTAAATAGCTTGAACAAACACTTAAACTAAAGAAAATATAATCCAGAAAAAAAGAAAAAAAAAAAAGCTTCTCCTCCTCCTCCGGTTTATCTTGTCGAATTCGGGAGCCTTTCTCTCTTATCTCCTCTCCTCCGGTAGAAAGAACCATGGCGTCGACCACTGATTTCACCAAATCTTTGCTTTCTCCTTTCTCCCATGGTAAGTCTCTCTTATTCTCCTCTCTCTCGCTCTCTCGATTTTAGGTTAGTGACATTGGATTTGAGCAAAGTATAACATTTCTCTGTGTATGCGTTCTTCGTGTGTTAGGCTCCATCTGAATATGCATAACCTTTCGTAATTAGACTCTAATTTTGCATTTGATAAGAGCTTAATCTTACTGTTCTATTTTTTTGGGATTGAAAATTCGATATTCTCTGGTTGAATTTCTTGATTAATTTGCAGGAAATGCGAGTTTGAATTCGCAGAGAGGTTGTAGACTAACATGGCCAAATCAGCACAAGCCTAGAATTTGCAGAAGGTCTCTTCGTGTGAATGGATTATTCGGAGGTGGAAAGAAAGATAATACTGAGGATGGACAATCTAAGGTACATTTGATCTTTTAGATATGAAACAGAGATTTCTGTAATATGCGAAAAACAAAAACTCATTTAAAACTTTTGAGTTTGTTTTTTTTTATCGTTGTGTGATCTTTGCTAGGCAGGAATCTTTGGCGTTCAAGATCTGGAGGAAATCGATTTTAAGTTTAAGGGAGATATTGTTGAACTAAGCTTGAAATCTTGAGATACAAGCCATCCTAGTTCTATCAAAATAAAGATATCTAAAGTGTTTAGGATTAGAGAGATGTTTAAGAGTTATCTAATATATTCTCTAATAGAATAGGAATTGTCTATTGGCTATATAAGGAGATGTCAAATTGTGACATAATTGAAAATTTAAAGTTTTGAATTATTTTTCTTAAGCTAATAAGAGAGCCATTTTTATTAATCTTTTGAGTTCTTGAGTTCTTTAGTTCTGGTTACAAAACAATAATATATAATATATATATATATATATGGTTAGGGTTAAAAAATAACTTTTTATTGTTTTCTTTCGGTGACATAGTTTTCAAATTTTTCTTCCATGACTTCGTCAAAGCGGCGTTCCTTGTCGCTGCCTTTTGAGTTAGTAGAAGAGATACTTTACAAGGTTCCAGTCGAATCGTTGGTACGATTCAAAACGGTATGCAAACAATGGTATGCTCTCTTTAACGACAAGAGATTCATCTACAAACACTTGGATCTCTCTCAGGAACGATTCGTACGACTTGATGTTGATGATCAATCGATTCAAGTCTTTAATCCTGAGACCAATGCTCGATTGCCTCTACCATTCCCAGACGAGTTACACATTCAAAAACTCAGTAAAACTATTCACTGTGACGGATTTTTGCTATCCGTGTGTACTGAGAGAGGCAGTCCGCTTAAAATAAAAGGGCTCGCTGTTTGGAATCCGATTTTGAGCGGAGTCACATGGATTAAACCATCGAATTCTTGCAAACTATTTGATATCTACGGTTTTGGATACGACAATGTATCACGTGTCAACTACAAGATCTTGAGGATTTATACAAGCAAAGTACCAGAGATTGAGATATATGAGTTTAAGTCTAAACTCTGGAGAAGTGTTGATGCTACTACTCTCAAATGCGATGCACTGTGGGATTCTTTGTCTATGAATGGAAACATGTACTGGCTTGCTCAAAAGAAGATGGATAACTCTGAAATCGAATTCTTCATCCAAAGTTTTGATTTTTCCACAGAAACATTCAAGCCCATAAGTTGTGTTCCAGAGGGAACTAAATGTCATCGTGGTTATCAACGAGGAGTACTCTTGTCAGGTTTAGGAGGAGATAGGCTTACTTTATTCCATCAAGTTAGGCATCTGAAGATGGAGGTTTGGGTTACAAGCAAGCTGACGGATGGGGTCATCTCGTGGACCAAGTATTTTAATATAAGTCCTGATCCCTCAATATCACAATCCACTTTCCTTGGCAGAATTTCACCGAAATACTTCATCCACAAGACCAACAAGATCATGTTATTGTGCGAGGAATCTGATCGCAAGGAGAAGAATTTTTACACCAATGTTTACAAAATTCGTGAGGGTAGGATCGAAAAACAAGTTGAGATGACAGTAAGCTACAGATTGTGTGATTACCGTTGCAATAATGTGTATGTTCCAAGTCTAGTTCCGGTTCCTTGTTTGAAGGAACTTGGCAGTAGAAAGCCAAAAAAGGAAGTTTAGATTTTGGTGCGAAGTTTGTAGACGTTGGGGCCTATTGTGAAACAGTCATGAGTTACGAAAAAAACATTTAGCTATGAACAAGGGTTTCTTTTTTTATGCAAATGGGTTTTTTCTTTTGTTTAATTCGGAATCTTGACAAAATCAAACCAATGCCATTTAGAGAATTTTGAATTTGGAATATATTGTTGAATTAAATCCTTTACGTTATGTGATAGAATATACTTTACAATGGTACGGTCTCTTCAATGACAAGATATTCATAAACAAACACTCGCATCTCTCCGAGGAAAGATTTATACTAGTTGATAAAATTGATCATAAATCATAAAATTGATGATAAAAAACCAACACCAAACGTGTTACACAATCAAGAGTTTGTATATTACTTTAATGATTTCTATCATGAAATATATTCTTAAAATAATCTAGATTTGATTTAATCAAATCCTAAGAGTTTCTTTTAGAAGAGGAAAGAAACACTAACCTTGATCCATGCTTTCCTTGGACTCTACGATTTTTTTTTCTTTTATGGAGAAGGAATCAAAATGTCTTTCTTATCTCTCTTTTCTGTTTTTCTGTTACGTTACTTGTGAAGGAAGAAGGTGTGAGACCTTTTATATTAGTTAATAGTTGTGACGGTTATATCATAAAACCCACGTAACCACAGCCCCTATTTATTATAATAAATATCCATAAAAGACCTTTTTATTTTGAAAAAGGATATTTTCCAAAACGTAGGCAAAAAAAAGAGAGTGGATATTTTCAATAAAGGTTGTCTCTTTCAATAAATTGATTAGGGTTACAAAAAGAAGTTTATTTATTGTTTTCTCTCCGTGAACTAGTTTTCTAAAATTTTCTCCCATGACTACTGCTTCAAAGCTGATGAGTTCCTCGTCAAAGCGACGTTCCTTGTCGCTGCCTTTTGAGTTAGTAGAAGCGATACTTTACAAGGTTCCGGTCGAATCATTGGTACGGTTCAAATCGGTATGCAAACAATGGTACACTTTCTTCAACGACAAGATATTCATCTACAAACACTTGGATCTCTACCAGGAACGATTCATAGGATTTAATCAAACTGATCCTAAATCGACTCAAATCTTCAATCCTGAGACCAATGGTATATTGCGTCTACCAACCCCAGACGAGCTACACAGTTATACTTTCAGTGGAGTGCTTCACTCATGCGACGGATTATTGCTATGTGTGTGTGTTGATAGATGTACGCATGGTAATGATAAATATAGAAAGCTCGTAGTTTGGAATCCGATTTTGAGCCAAATCAAATTGATTGAACCCTCGAGTTCTTACAATGAGTTTGATATCTACGGTTTTGGATATGATATTGTATCCCGTGACAACTACAAGGTCTTGAGGATTAGTAAAGAATATTATAAAGACGAATCATCAGAGATTGAGATATATGAGTTTAAGTCTAAACGATGGAGATGTGTTGATGCTACTCTCGAATGCGATATGTGGGCTTCTGTGTCTATATATAGAAACATGTACTGGCTTGCTCAAAAGAGGATGGTTAACTCTGAAACCGAATCTTCATCCAAAGTTTTGATTTTTCCAATGAAACATTCAAGCCCATAAGTTGTGTTCTAGAGGGAACTGAATGTTCTCTTAGTCTTAGTAATGATCAAACAGTTAGAGTACTCTTGTCAAGTTTTGGAGGAGACAAGCTTTCTTTATTACATCAAGATATCCATATGGAGATTGATGTGTGGGTTACAAACAAGCTGACCGATGGGATTGTCTCATGGAGCAAGTATTATAATGTAATTGCTGATACCTTGATATTACACTCCAGTTCCCATCACAACGTTTTACGAACACACTTCATCCACAAGACCAATAAGATCATGTTATGGTGCGAGGAACTTGATGTCAAAATGGGAGATAGTTGCACCAGTATTTACCAAATGGGTGATGGTTATGAGATCAAAAAACAAGTTGCGATGACTGAAAGATCTAAACATAAATATTGCGATGTGTATGTTCCAAGTGTAGTCCCGGTTCCAAAATGAGAGGAAGAGTGTACTCTTAAAAGAGACGAGTGAAGGTTGCTTTTCTACATTTTATTGCATGTTCTAAGCTTTTGTTCACCTATCATATACAATTATAATACTTTCCAACAATTAGACTTTTGCGGATCATATTGGTAGACTGTTTAGGGTACACAATTAGTTTTTTTTCTAGCTAGTTTTTGTGGAAAATCTGAATCTGAAACTGAGCTTGGTTTTGGTTTGTTCCAGAGTTTTATTATACAGAGAAGAGACTATATATATTAGTTTCGGTTGGGTTAGACTTTTAGGTGTTAACTTAGAGATTTTAATCAAGTCTCAGTAGAATAAAAAAGAACGAACAAAATCTGATCATCCTAGTGATCAATAAATCCTAGATGCATACTTAAATTTTCAAATTCAAAAGATAATTCGTAAGCTTTATATCTCTTAATTGATTCAAAGGATGCTAGTGAATTAACAAATGCAAAACGATGAGAGAAGCTACTAAAAAGGGGCAAGAATCAATACAACAATAACATAATATCCCTCCAGAAGATGACATATCAGCTTTTTTAAACTTTCTAAGGTTGACACATCAGCAAAAAAACACCAATCAAAATATTTTATTAATACACATCATCTACTAACTTTTATTATTTTTAACTTAAACCCATTAAAAACCCAAATATTTTTTTTGTTAATCTTTGTTTTATTTTTGTCAAACAAAGCCCAAATAATAAATAACAGCAAATAAAAAATATTATTTTATTTTTTACCATCCCCAAATCTAAATAATAAATAACAACAAATAAAAAATTAAATCTTTATTTTATATTTTTGCCAAACCGAAACTCTAATAATAAATAACAGCAAAAAAAATTAAAATTTTTAACTATGTGTTTGCTTGATAGAGACGTATATGATTGAAGAAAGTGTAGACTCATCATCAACTATGCTTCCATAACAACAACGCAAAAAGCGTTATGTTATAAGAAGCTCACACATCAGCAAAAATTTGAACCAATAAAAACATAACAATAATACATATCATTAACACACTAATAAAATCAGTTTACTATTTTGCTGACCCATTAAAAAGCCTAAAGTTTACAAAAAAAAAATGGAAGTCTAAGGCAAATGAGGAGAAGCTCAGACCACCACAGCTTGGAGATTCACATTTCCGGTGGTTACCGAGAACAAATTTTCTTAAGTTTGGCGGGAATAGAGAATTTCTTGGTTTCGGTAGGAAAATGTGATTTTCAATTTTGGTAGGAAAACATAATTTTCCGGTTATGGCGGAAAAAAATGAATTCTCGGGTTTGGCTGAAAAATGTGAATTCTTGGTTTTGGTGAGAAAAAAAATATGATTTTGACGCGAAAACAAAATATCTTAGTTTTGACTAGAAAATGCGAGGGAAATGTAACTTTTTAATATTGACGAAAAAATACGATTTCTGGGTTTTGATAGAAAATGCAAATTTTTGGCTTTTGATGGATAATCTGATTTCTAGACTTTCATGGGAAAAATGTGATTTCGTAGTTTTCGCGGAAAATGCAATTTGTCGGTTTGATAGGAAAACAAAATTTCTCGATTTTGGCGGGAATAAACAATTTCTCGCTTTTGATGGGAAATGCAAATATTCAGTATTTGACATATAAAGTGATTTTTTGGTTTTCGCGGGAAAATACGATTTTTTAGTTTTCGCGGAAAACGCAATTTCTCAGGAGGTAATGCATTTTTTTGTTTTCGCGAGAAATTATAGTTTATCAATTTTGGTATGAAGGCGTGATTCTTGGTTTGACGAGAAAAATAATTTTTTTTTGGCGGGAATAGACAATTTTTTGTTTTTGCAGAAAAGTAATTTTTTAGGTTTTGACGAGACAATACGATTTTTTTTGGTTTTGGTAAAAAAACTTGATTTCTCTGTTTGGCGGGAAAACGCAGGTTCTCGCGGAAAAATGTGATTTTTTGGTTTTTGCGGGAAAATAGGATTTCTTTGTTTTGGTAGGAAAGTGAAATTTCAGGTTTGACGAGAAAATCAATTCTTTTTTGTTTTGGCGGGAATAGACGATTTCTTAGTTGTGGGAAAATGTATTTTTTTATGTTTTATCAGAAAATGCAATTTCTCAGTTTTTATAAAAAAGATAAAATTTCTCAGTGCTAAAATTTCATGTTACAATAAACATAACCCAAAATTGAATTATTTAACTTCAATTAAATTGATATTTCAATAGTTTAAGCAGAACTTTGTATTTCGCTCTAAAGCAATAACAATAGTTTTAATATGAATGTTATTGATTATAGTTTGATAGTTTTAGAAACATATGTTTATAATAAATATTTGATAAATAAGTAAATTTTATAATTTAAAATAATCATATTAATTAATAATTTTTTTAAAATGGCAATTTGCTTTACATAATTTCAAAAGAGGATCAAGTGGCAATTTAGTAGAGAAAATAAATTACATTGGCCATTAGCATGAATGTACTTAAAATTGTATTGTTTTATTCTTACATATACATTTATAGATAGTTAGCTAAACAAATTTGATGGTAGATTATAATTTTAAAAAATAAAAAAATTAAGGATATATAATGTTTATTCAGATTTAAAACATATAAATACATAATTTAAGCTAATAACAAATAAATATATTACTCATTTACATTATAAAAATAATTTTACTATATCAAAAATATATACAAAATGTAGAAAAATATACACTATGATATTTTCCCTTGTTAATCTTTGTTTTATTTTTTGCCGAACTCAAGCCCAAATAATAAATAACAGCAAAGAAAAAAGTATTTTATTTTTTATCGTCCCCAAATCTAAATAATAAATAATAACAAATAAAAAAATTAATTATTTGTTTTATATTTTTGCCAAACCGAAACTCATAATAAATAACAGGAAAAAATTAAAATTTATGACAACGTGTTTGCTTGATAGAGACATATACGATTGAAGAAAGTGTAGACTCAAAATTATCTATGATTCCATAACAACAACGCAAAAAATGTTATGTTATAAGAAGCTCACACATCAGCAAAAATTTGATCCAATAAAAACATAACAATAATACATATCATTAACACACTAATAAAATCAGTTTACTATTTTGCTGATCCATTGGAAAGCCCAAAGTTTACAAAAAAATAGAAATCGAAAGCAAATGAAGAGAAGCTCAGACCACCACAGCATGGAGATTCACATTTCCAGTGGTTACCGAGAACAATTTTTTTTGGATTTGGCGGAAATAGAGAATTTCTTGGTTTCAGAAGGAAAATGTGATTTTCAGTTTTGGTAGGATAACATAATTTCTCGGTTATGGCGGAAAAAGGGAATTCTCGGGTTTGGCGGAAAAATATAAATTTTTGGTTTTGGTGAGAAAAAAAAATTGATTTTGATGAGAAAACAAAATATCTTAGTTTTGACGAGAAAATGCGAGGATAATGCAACTTTTCAATTTTGACAAAAAAATACGATTTCTTGGTTTTGATAGGAAATGAATATTTTGGCTTTTGATGGATAATGTGATTTCTTGATTTTTGCGGGATACGAAATTTCTCAGGAGATAATGCAATTTTTGGTTTTTGCGGGAAATTGTAGTTTATCGGTTTTGCTAGGAAGGCGTGATTCTTGGTTTGACGAGAATTTTTTTTTTTTTTTTTTTTTTGCGGGAATAGATGATTTCCCAGTTTTTGCGGGAATTTTTTTCCGGTTTTGACGGGAAAATATGACTTTTTGGTTTTTGTAGGAATATCAAATTTTTTGGTTTTGGCGAAAAACTTGATTTCTCCGTTTAGGCGTGAAAAAACAGGTTCTCGAGGGAAAATGTGATTTTGTGGTTTTTGCAGGAAAATGCAATTTCTTTGTTTTGGTAGGAAAATAAAATTTCAGGTTTGACAAAAAAATGATTTTTTTGGTTTTGGCGGGAATATTTAGTTCTAAAGCAATAACAATGGTTTTGATATGAATGTTATTGATTATAGTTTGGTAGTCTTAAAAACATATATTTATAATAAATATTTGATAAATAAATATATTTTATAATTCAAAATAATTATATTAATTAATAAAAAGAAATTCAAAGGCAATTTGCTTTATATAATTTCAAAAGAGGATCAAGTAGCAATTTAGTAGAGAAAATAAATGACATTTATCATTAGCATGAAGGTATTTAAAAATAAATTATTTTATTCTTACATATACATTTACAGATAGTTAGCTAAACAAATTTGATAGTAAATTATAATTATGAAAAATAAAAATATTAAGGATATATAATGTTTATTCAGATTTAAAACATATAAATATGTCACTTAAGCTAATAAAAAATATAATACTCTTTTACATTATAAAAATAATCTTATTATATTAAAATATATATAAAAATATTACGCAGCGTAGCGCAGGTAAATACCTAGTCAATACAACAATAACACTCATATCTATACTATAAAAGATGGTCAACTCTCTCCATATGAGTGCCACCTCATCATTTTGGTTTATTGTGAAAATAATATGTGTCATTTTTTAAAATTTAATGATATAAATTATATAAAATACAGTTAATGCATAAATTTAATGTATTATTAATCATATTACTAAAAGAATATGAAAAATATGAAGTATTAAAAAATATATTTTAATAACTGAATATACTTTATATCCAAAAACAATTATTGAGTATCTATTTTGTGGTAGTTTTTTTAAGATCATTTTATGGTTCTTATTTAAGAGTATTTTCTTATTTCTAATTAATATTATAAGTTATTATTATAAAAATAATTATACAATTATAAAAAATAACAATTATTTGATATTTTAAACCTAAAAAAAAAGTTAGAAGAAAAATTTATACAATACTATAATAAAATTTAAAACAATTTCTTTTTAAACAAATAATTATGATAATTTATTTTATATAAACTTGATCCATTAGTAATTCCTAAATTAATAAAATATCAAATTCCATATATATTTTTTATACATTGTTTAATGCAGCTGTATAAATTAGAATTATAAATCAATTATTTAAGCTCATAAAAATATAAAATGACGGCGTTGCTATTGTGTAAATATGCGCCATAAATAAATACAATCTGTTAGAAATGGCTGTCTCTACCTATGTTGTGCTTAAAGAGTTTCTGTAATTAATTTTTGTTATATAATACTTCTCTAATTTGCAGTAAATCTATTTAATATATTCTATATATACAAGATATAAAATATTTCACATTTCCTTATCAATAAACAATTTATCACATATATAGTTAACATCCACATAATATGTAAATACATATTATATGTTTATTCAAATACACAACATCCTTAAGAAAAATTTAAATATACGTTAAAATAAATTATAACTACACTTTTTAATAAATTATATTGTGAAACAAATCTGTGCATCGCGCGGGTATTCATCTAGTCTCTCTGAAAGATGACACATCAGCTTTTTAAAGCTTTATAAACATGACACCTCAGCAAAAATAATCACCAATCAAAACATTTTATTAATACAACTCATCTACTTATTTTAATTTTTAAACTTAAACCCATTAAAAACCCAAATATTTTTTCTATTAATTTTTGTTTTATTTTTTACTAAACTCAAGCCCAAATAATTAATAGCAGCAAATTAAAAAAATCTTTATTTTATTTTATTTTTCCAAACCCATGCCCAAATAATAAATAAAAACAAATAAAAAAATTAAATTTTTTTTTTTGCCAAAGCCAAACCCAAATAATAAATAACAGCAAATAAATAATAATAAAAAAATTTAGCTATATGTTCGTTTGACAGAGACGTATATGATTGAAACAAGTGTAGACTTATCATTAACTATGCTTCTATGACAACAACGCAAAAAGCCTTAAGAAGCTCACACATCAGCAAAAAGTTGAACCGATAAAAATATAACACTTCCTTAGTTTTTGCGGAAAAACACAATTTCATGAGAGATAATGCAATTTTTGGTTTTCGCGGGAAATTGTAGTTTATCTGTTTTTGTAAGAAAGCGTGATTCTTGGTTTGACGAGAAAATAATTTTTTTTGGTTTTGGCGGGAATAGACGATTTCTCAGTTTTTGCAGGAAAATAAACTTTTCGGTTTTGATGGGAAAATACAATTTTTTTTTGTTTTTGTAGGAAGATACATTTTTTTTGGTTTTTGCGAAAAACATAATTTCTCGGTTTTGGCGGAAAAACAGAGGTTCTCGCGGAAAAATGAATTTTTAGGTTTATGTTTGACGAGAAAATGATTTTTTTTTTGTTTAGGCGAGAATAGGTGATTCTCAGTTTAATAGAAAAATGAAATTTTTGGGTTTTGACGGAAAATACGATTTCTCGATTTTTGTAAGAAGATGAAATTTCTCTGTGCTAAATTTCCAAGTTAAAGTATGTTTACAATAACCAAAATTTAATTATTTAACTTCAACTAAAACGATATTAGAACAATTCAAACAGAATTTTCTATTTTGTTCTAAAGCAGTAACAATGGTTGATATGAATGTTATTAATTATAGTTTGATAGTTTTAGAAACATATATTTATAATAACTATATGATAAGTAAATAAATTTTATAATTCAAGATAATCATATTAATTAATAAATCTTTTTTTAAATGGCATTTTGCTTTATATAATTACAAAAGAGGATCAAGTAGCAATTTATTGGAGAAAATATATTACATTTGCTATTAGCATGAATGTACTAAAAATGCATTACTTTATTCTTATATATACATTTATAATTAGTTAGCTAAACAAATTTAATAGTAAATTATTATTTTGAAAAATAAAGAAATAAAAAATATACAATATTTATTCAATTTTTTTTTTTGGCAAACAAAGATTTTATTAAACATAAGTATTTGACTACATATAATGGAAGAAACTACAAACATAAGTATTTTTACTACATAACTTTGTGTGTTGATACGAGATAACTTTGCCAAAACAGCAACCTGATTTAACCTTACTGAATGGAGATATTGAAAAGTGTGATTGTCCGGCTGGCATAAACGAGAGATATCTTGGACAATCATTGCGATTGATCTTTGAATGTCAGTGGGCTTTCGAGCTTCATCACATTTGCTAAGCGGAATATACAATGGTGAGCAGGCACCCATAAAAATAACAGGACCGTAATGAAGCTTAGTTATTTCCTGGATAGCCATCCTTAACGCCAATGCTTCAGCTTCTAACGGAGTTTTGAGTGGAGACATAGAGGAAGAGCCTTGCATAAAGGGGTGGCCTTCAGGTGTATGGAGAATCCAAGCAACTCCAGTTTGTTGATTAGACGCAATCTAAGAAGCATACACATAACAGTAGGATGGAGAACGAGGACCTGATATTTGTGGAAGCAACATCCTCATAGGGGAACATGGATATTGAGAAGGCTGATCAGATACATCAGCAGTAACCTGGCACCAGAGTTTATGATACAGAAAAGCGTTGTTAATAATAGCCACAATGCTTAGCCGTTTTCCTGTGAATAGGAGTTTATTCCGTGCTTTCCACAGTTCCCAACCAATAAACAGTATGACAGAGAAAGCATCATGCGTGGAGAGAAGGGGACAGAACAACGCTTTTTAATTATAGGAGAGATCCCCAGATAACCGATTGATACTAGCAAAATGATGAGGTAAAGAGAGATTCCATACCTCCTGTGAGATAGGACATTGGAAGAGGAGATGATTGAGTGTCTTTTCATGTTGACCACAAAACAGACAAGTAGGGTCCAATGAGATACCTCTCATGCGAAGCTGACAAACAACAGGTATACTGTCATGAATAACGCGCCACCAAAAAGATTGTATTTTGGGTGGTGCTTTGAGTCGCCAAACAGCGGTGAAAAGTAGTTTTTTATCAACATTGTTAGTTGGTGAAATAGACGCAGAGTGTAAACTCCGCATAACAGAATAGCCGGATTTGACAGTATATAAGCCATGTTGCGTTGGAAGCCAAAAGGGAGAATCACTTACATTGGTAATACAGGGGGTGAGTTTTAATATTTCTTGTACATCAGTCAGCTGAAAGAGAGATCGAAGCTGCTCTGTATCCCATGTTTGAGTACCTGGGAGGAAGAGATAAGAAACTTTCAGCTTAGGAGTAAAACCAGAAATTAAAGGTTGAGGTGATCAAGGAGGATGCAACGGTAACCATGAATCTAACCAAACGCTTATACTCTTCCCATTGCCTACATGCCACACTAATCTTACTCTCAGGAGTTCTTGGGTACTAAGGATACGCCTCCAAGCATAACTAGAGTTTCGTTTAAGAGTAGCTTGTAAAAAAGCTGTATTCTGATAATTTTTAGCTTGGAAAACTCTTGCAAACAAAGAGGTAAGATGTTTCATTAAACGCCAGCCCTGTTTAGTTAGTAAAGCTATGTTGAAATCTCGAAAATCTCGGAAGTCTAATCCTCCTTGGGATTTATCTTCGACAAATTTATTCCAAGAGATCCAAGAGATTTTATGTTTATCAGAACTGTTAGACCACCAAAAACGTTGAATATCAATCATCATTTTGTTAATGAGTCGTTGAGGGAGTAGAAACAACTCATAGTATAGGTTGGAATGGCCGTAATTATCGATTTAATTAAGACTTCTTTACCAGCAGATGATAAAAGTTTAGAATACCAAGTAGATAGTTTATAATGAATCCTCTGCTTTAAATAAGCAAAAGTTTCAGAGCGATTTACGACCTATGGACTCCGGCAGTCCTAAGTATTTACCATAACCACCTATTTGCGTTATGTGAAGCAAGTGAGAAAGCTCGTTTATAGTAGTAGAAGGAGTACCTTTACTAAATAGAATAGACGATTTGGCATAGTTGATATACTGTTCTGAGGTTTGACCCTACATAGAAAGAGCATGTTGAAGTGTTGCAGCATCCTTAGTTGTTGCTCCTGCAAAAAGTAAAGAATCATCAGCGAAAAGCAGATGCGTGATGATGGGACCTCGTCTAGAAGCCCTGTACCCAAATAGCTGATTTTGTTGTGATAAACACTTTAAGAGAGCAGAGAGGGCTTCAGTATATAGTAGATAAAGATATGGAGAGATCGGGTCACCTTGACGAATACCTCTAGTAGGATAGATCCGAGGAGTGGATGAAATCCCATTTGCCCCATCACTGCGTCCAAAAACGTCCATTCAACTTTATCGAAAGCCTTAGTAATATCCAATTTGAGAGCCATATAATGATGCGTAAGTTGCTTAGTCCTTAACGAGTGCAATAACTCATGCGCAATAAGAATATTATCAGTAATAGATCTCCCTGAAATAAAGGCAGTTTGATTCTCAGAGATAACAGTGGGTAACCAAGGCTTAAGTCTATTAGCAAGAACCTTGGATATAATCTTATAAGCAACATTGGATAAACTAATAGGTTGGTAGTTCTTAAAGGAAGTAGGAGAATCCTTTTTGGAAATTAAACAAATATGAGTATGATTGATTTCAGAATCTAAGCAACCATTCTGAAAAAAAAGCTTGTAACATATTGAAAAACACTCTCGGCAATTGTATTCCAATGATGTCTATAGAAACCCGCATTCATGCCATCAGATCCAGGCGATTTATCAGAATGTATACTAAAAACTGTGCGCTTAATTTCATCCATAGTGATAGGAGCAATGAGTTGTTATTAATTGCAGGAGTAATTATTGAAGGAATACTTGCTAGAATCTCTGGATCAGGAGGGGGATGCTGCGAAGCATATAGTTTAGTGAAATATTCTTGAACATGACTTATAAGTTATGTATTTAAAACATATAAATAAATACATAACTTAAGCTAATAAAAAACAAATCTAATATTTATTTATATTACAAAAATAATTTTATTATATTAAAAATTTATATAAAATTTTAAAAATATTTTGCAGCATAGTACGGATAAATACTTAATATATTATAAAAAAATTGTTACTTATTTTTTTTAAAAAAATGTTATTTTCATCCATATTATTTATGATTTATAACATTTATATTAAATTTTTACGTACTTGAAATACAATTTCGTTATATAATTCAAATATATTAAAATACATTAAAACGTCATTAATTTTTTTCAAAATTAAGCATTTCATAATTATTTTGCATAATTTGTACCAATTCTCTCCGGAAAAGATGTACTACAAATTGTCAAATACCCAAAATGCAAACCAACAAATATGTAAGCTCAAAGTGTTAGGTGACGTGGCCTTATATTTATTGGGTAAATAGCTTCAGCAAACACTTAAACTAAAGAAAATATAATCCAGAAAAAAAAAGAAAGAAAAAAAAGCTTCTCCTCCTCCTCCGGTTTATCTTGTCGAATTCGGGAGCCTTTCTCTCTTATCTCCTCTCCTCCGGTAGAAAGAACCATGGCGTCGACCACTGATTTCACCAAATCTTTGCTTTCTCCTTTCTCCCATGGTCAGTCTCTCTTATTCCTCTCTCTCTCTCTCTCGCTCGATTTTAGGTTAGTGACATTGGATTTGAGCAAAGTATAATATTTCTCTGTGTATGCGTTCTTCGTGCTTTAGGTTTCATCTGAATATGCATAACCTTTCGTAATTAGACTCTAATTTTTCATTTCATAAGAGCTTAATATTACTGCTTTTTATCTCTCTTGGTGTATTTTTGGGATTGAAAATTCGATATTTTCTGGTTGAATTTCTTGATTAATTTGCAGGAAATGCGAGTTTGAACTCGCAGAGAGGTTGTAGACTAACATGGCCAAATCAACACAAGCCTAGAATTTGCAGAAGGTCTCTTCGTGTGAATGGATTATTCGGAGGTGGAAAGAAAGATAATACCGAAGATGGACAATCTAAGGTACATTTGATCTTTTATATATGAAACAGAGATTTCTGCAATATGTGAAAAAAAAAACTCATTTAAAACTTATGAGTTTGTTTCTTTTGATCGTTGTGTGATCTTTGCTAGGCAGGAATCTTTGGTAATATGCAGAATATGTATGAGACCGTGAAGAAAGCTCAAATGGTTGTTCAAGTGGAGGCTGTACGTGTTCAAAAAGAGTTAGCTGCGTAAGTCTTTTCACAAACTAGCAATTTTTTTTGTAAGTATGGTTCTTTACTTGTATCTGAGTTTCGTGCTGCTCTTGTTTCGATTTCTCAGCGCAGAGTTTGATGGTTATTGTGAAGGCGAGCTTGTCAAGGTCAGTGTTGTCTCACTAGATCAAATTTGATGATTACAAGACTTGATTTTTCTTTCTCCTAATAGCTTAAAGACTTGTCTTACCTAATAGATCATTATATACAATATAACAAGAAGTTAACTAGTAGTCTATTACCTAAGTTTTGCATTGGAAAGCTATCGAGGACTCTTTATCTATGTCCTTACTCTGTTTCCGCAAGTGTTGTCTCACTAGATCAAATTTGATGATTACAAGACTAGATTTTTCTTTCTCTTAATAGAACAGGACACACGATATAAAGAATTGTTTTGTCCTGATAGATCATTATATACAATATGACAAGAAGTTAACTATTAGTCTAATACCAAATTCTTACATTGGAAGGCTTTCAAGGACTCGTTATTACTTTGTTTCCGTAAAAGATACTACTTTGTCTGAATGTAACTTGATGGATGTAAGAATCGTGTTGTCTGATCTGCAAAAAACATGTCCTGCAATCATGGAATTGTTTTGTTGAATTTCTTTTTGTTTCTGTTACACATTCTGATGAACTTTGAATTCGTGTCAGGTTACATTATCAGGGAACCAGCAACCAATCCGTACTGATATTACTGAAGCAGCAATGGAATTAGGTTCCGAAGTTAGTAACCTCACCAACCTTTGTTGTTATGGAACAATCAGAGCTAATTTTGTTTATAGGTTTCTCATGTTGTGTGTTTTTTTTCCTTTGGCAGAAACTTTCACAGCTGGTCACAGAAGCGTACAAGGACGCACACGCAAAGAGTGTAGTGGTAAAGCAATCGCAGACCATTTTATCACACAATGCAACTAAAGTAACTCTCTCTCTCTCTTCATCTCTTCTAATTGAGTTTTGTGTGAATCTTCACAGGCTATGAAAGAAAGAATGAGCGACCTTGCGCAGAGCTTAGGGATGCCACCTGGCCTCAGTGAAGGACTGAAGTAAGAAACTGTTTTTTTTTTTTTTTTTTTTTTTGTCTCATTCAACTTTCATGTATGAGAGAGGTCGGCTTTTTCTTTTTTCTTTTTGTATCAGTCAGGCAAAAGCATAAAGCTTTGTACCCTACTCTTATGGAATCAGATATAAAAGATTTAAAACTTTGTCTCTCTGCGATATTATATCAACACAATCCTTCTTGTAGCAACAACATATATGTAATATTACTGGCTCTGCACATAAGTGTATGTGTGTGATGAAAACTCCTGGTTCTCACAGTAAGATTTAAATGAGTAGATGCTGTAAGAACTTGGTTTCGTTGGTTTGCGGTAGACATGAAGGTGAGTAGATGCTGTGACTGTGGCGTAGTAGTCAGAGTTTGTATCCTCCGTGAAGCTGCAGTGTTTGAGGATAGTTTTGTAGGATCTGTCGGAGATCATGACTTTTTAATTATCACCACCACCACCGTCACTGGCGATTCCATCACCATATCACCATCACCACCAACACCACCCCACCATCATCATTTTCGTGTCTTAATCAGAAAGAAAGAGAAAAGGTAGTAAAGACATTTTTATTTAACTGGAAGGAGAGAGATATTGACTTTGACTTCTACTTAATTATCATATTATCTGAGGCCATTCATTACAATTACTCATACAAGAATTAGTCATAACACTATTAGTCATAAAATGTTATATAGACAAGGGTATGCTGAAAATCTACAAGACATTTGTATCTTTTGGGAACTTTTGCTTATACTAAGGATTGAAACATAGACAAAATCTTTTAGGCTTATTGCCAAAGTACTGACTGAGAAACACATAATGCAAACCATTTTGATTTTGAGTTATACGATGAGATTAGTCCTTCACCTAATGTGACAAAGGAGTTATTCTTTACCAAATTTATAAATATCACAATTAACAATAAAAAAAAAAGTAATCGATCTAAGTTAATTTAAACCACCCCATGTTTTAAACATAACACTGGACCATAGGGCATATAATCAGTTTTTAGGAGATCATATGATACTGTGTAAATAAAAACTCGCACGTAATATGCGGATATTCACCTAGTTATGCTAAAAACAGAGGTATTTAAAAATTTATACTTAATATTAATGCAACAATCATCCAGAAAAGTGAAGATCATCACAAGAAAACCCCAAAAAATAGAAGTCATCGGCAACAATGACCAACTACAACTAGTATCTAGAAAAGATGATATAATGACCCAAAAAAACAAATAATAATTCACCGATAAAGAGCCAAACTAGCTCTATGTAATAATATTAACATTCTTGACATGGTTTAGGAAGGTCTTAACTCTCCCACCTTCATACCCTTCAATCCCTTGGATTTTAACCTTTTTTAGAGTGTTTCTCTTAGGGTCGAAGTAGAAAACATAGAATACGTCGGAAGTAACAAACCTTGTCGTCAACACAATCTCCCCTGTACCAATCATTCCAACCACAGAAGCACCACTATCATCAAAAGGAAGCGACAAACGGTAGAATTGTTTTGACCATGCCGGTTTATTGCAATCCTCTAGAAACCACAAGGACAATTTAAGTCTAGTCTTTCTATCATCTAAAGCACGTCATCTAATTAAAACTAATTTACCCTTGAAGATTGTCAGACAAGGGTCAGGATCTTTTGATCGCTTGCTCCAAAGGGAATTATGTCCCTTAGGTTCATCAAGAAACTTGAATTTCTCAGACCTAACATCAAAACAAACTACTCCAATACAACGTGATGCACCTTCTCTTTGAGCAACATAATACAAAACCCCGTTGAAACATATCCCTGAAGTTCGGGGTCTATGCCTTGTGGGACATTCAATGGACCTCCAAGACGAGTTCACCGCCGAATGTAAGAAGATGAAACCCACCGAATTTTACACCTGGAGGGCAGTTCACGCACAGTATTTTGTATTGTTTATCGATGGGGTCATACCCAAAATACTTCCGAAAAATATATTTCTGTGTCGATATGGGTAAGCTCACGTACTCTTGTTTCGTAGTGGTGTTGCATATCAACGGCTCTATCTCGTACTTGCCGAAAACGAGGGCAGAAGATCAAGCCGGAGACTGGGGGACAAATCTCGTACAATGAGCAAATACCTAAATCTATAGACATACAAAGATCAACGTCTACAAGAGACGTGTTCTCATTTGGAAGTTGGGGCTGAGGTGACGAGTAAAAACGCCACTCTATCTCTTCATACTTCGTCCCTTTTCACGCTTAATTAGTTGTCTGTATGGCGAATATGAGATGCGGACGAGCCAAAGATCTGGTCAAGAACAAGGCGGTGAAATATGATCCGGCAAGTGTTGAGGCCCATAGCTTCGACACGCAATGAAACCTTCCGACTGATTCGGCCGGCAAATACGAGAGTATCTCGGTGACGAGATCGATTGGGATGGTTATTGTTCCATTCATCGAGCTCTCTCTGTGATGGTTTTGGTTGCGGCTGTCATTAATATATATAGATAGGGCACATAAAAAAACCTAAAACATAAGGAAATAAAGTTTATGAAAATAAATCTAGAAACTTGTAATTTTCTAAAAACAAATTGCACCGTACAGGTTGAGGAAACCCAATTATGCGAATCTCTCTCTATCTTTTTTTTTTTTTTTTTGGTAAGCTCTTTATTATTCGACTTATTATTGTTTGCTTTCAACAATTATCCACAATTTATTGAAGCTTGAGGGTTTTCAGTTTTCCGATTCTGAGTTGGGGAAAAAATCATCATCATCATATCTATTACTAATAAAAATTGATGCTAAATGCCTCTAAGGGTGTCTACATAGGATTTAAAGATTCAATTCTATTGGTACACATCATCATTATTATTAGTTAATTATATATTGTATATTAAAATTAATTAATTTATTTTAATTGTTATAAGGAAAAATTCTAAATTTTAATTAATTTTGTTTTTGTTGTTATTAGGAAAGTTTCTAAATTTTAAGTTAGTTATTAATAAAAAAGAGTTTTGAAAATAGATCTTATTTTTCTATTAATAATAAAAAGGTAAATTAACATATAAATAGATTATGAAAGAAAAATCATGTATAATGAACAAAATTATTAAAAACTATATATAAAACCATAATTAAATTTTTTAAAATTTTAATCACGACAAACAATTAAAATCTGAACTGCTAACTTAAAATATATTAGTTGTGGTCTGTGTTGATGTCTTAGGCCAATGAGAGCGTCCACATATGACATATATACTCAATCTCATTAGTCTATATAAGAGTTTTTCAGTAATAATATTTTAATGAAATTAAAATATACAAAAATATAAAACTATCACAATAGAATGAAAAATTAAGATAAGTTTTTATAACTAAATAAAATAAATTTATGTCAAAAGTCTAAATCTATTGTGAAAATAAAATAAAAACTCATTGTCACAAAAACTAAACCAGCAAAAAAATATGTAAATCAACATTTTAAAAACAATGGTGTGTTAAAATAAAATAAAAATCAATATCAAGAGAGGTAAATTATCAAAGAAAAAAGTCATATAAAGTAAAATTAGCTTGATATTTAGGCTAACTACCAAACAAATATTAACTACAAAAAGCAAATGATGGTATAAGCTTTTGAGAGAAGTTCACTTAAAATTTAGAATAACCAGTTATAGCATGTCAAAATAGCATTCTAATTAATTTTAAAAGTAAAATTAACAAATAAAAAGCATTTATGTAAAAGATATTTGATACCTGCAGAAAATAGATAATTAAAATAAAATATATATGCTACCTATTTGAAAAATCAATAACAAAAGAGATTAATTAAAAATATATATGTTTTAAGTATATCAAACCTGCAGAAAAATAGATAATTAAAATAAAATATAAAATTACCATTGAAGATATTTAAAATAACAAAAAACAAGATCTAAGAAGAAAATTAGTTTGAAATATAGTTCCAAAAACATTCATGATTTCTAAAATATTGGTGTTGACTATGGATAAACCATATAAAATTTTAATAGGTTATACAAGTTTCTAAATCAAACATATTATTTAAATTTACAAAGATTAATACTTTGGTTGCGTCTGGTTGAAAAATTAACAAAGTAAAATACTACACAAGTAACTTTACATTTGAAATATAATCAGTAATAAAGTCTGATTTGTATACATATTTACTGCTTATAACTTAGTCAACATGAACAACACATAAGCAACATCCTCTAACATTTTATTTAAATAGTATAATATGACAAAATTATGAATCAAATTCAAATGGAAATATATGAAGATAAAATATTCAAATCAAAACATGAATAAACACACAAAAGATAAAAAAAACAATGATAATGTGAAGTCTCAACATCATCTTACATATTTAAAAACAAATATTAGCAAATAGTTGACAGCAAATAAAACAGATGTTATAAACTGAATAGAGATATAACCTAAAATTTGTAGAAGATCTGTTGGAGAAGCAAAAAACAGCTTTACACGATTAGTGTAGCTTACTAACAAAAGTAAATATGAATCAGCATATATCATATATTATATATATGTATATATACACAACATTAGTGAGATATTTAGTAACGAAACTAAATATTTAAACATATAAACATTTTAAAGAAAAGAACCATAGAAATCCTAAGGATACAAAACAAAGCACCAAAAATTTAGTAAGGAAATCATTTTCTAAATCAAACATATCAAAGTTGGATAATTCGTTAGGTGTCATTATTATGATTTTACTTAATAAGATTTATAATTTTATAAACAAAAATAGGAAATAATACATATTATGTTTTAATTTTTTTTATATAAATGAAAATTTCTACAAACATATTATAGTTTTATTAATTTAAAAGATATTAGCCAAAAAATTAAACGAAAATATTAATACAGACTCGCACGTAACGCGAGTTAAAAGCCTAGTAATAAATAAAAGTTAAAGATATAGTGCATTGAGGGCATCCACATATGATTAAAAAACTCAATATGATTGGTCCACATCAGCATATTTATTAAATAAAAAAATGTTAAATATAAGTAGGATGGAAAAACTTGATTTAATTGGTCCACATCAGCTTTTAAATCAAACCAAAAATTATTAAGTATAATTAAAACATTAAAAGTTAATTTAACAAATTATATCCAACAAAAAAGTAAATTCAATTTGATTGATCCAAATCAATATTTTTATTAAATCAGAAAATGTTAATATGGTTTAAAATTTTAAAAGTTAAATAAAAAAATTAACAATTAACAATACATGTATAAAAAAGTAACCATTATCAATTATCAATTTAAAAAAAATCTACAACA